TGGCAGTGCCTTGGCCATCCATTGTATAATCTTGGACACCAGTGTACTTAATTTCTCTGTAGCTCAGCCTCCTCATGTAAAATGGAAATTATAATAATAATACCTACTTCCAAAGGTTCTTATGAGAATTAAATGAGTTAATTTATGCATGATATATAGTGAGCCTTCTGTAAAGGTTACCTGGTATTATTGTTTTCCTAACTTTTGGAACTGTAGACCTTGGACTCAAACTATGTGTCTCATTGAGCTCCACTAGCCATTAATCATGTGACTTTCACAAAGTCACCCAATCTGAACCTCAATTTTCTCATCTATTGTGAGAAATAAAAGGGATAATGTTCTTGGCACATGGCAAACACTCAATGAATGCTAACGGGCCGGGCATGGTGGCTAATGCCTGTAACCTAGAACTTTGGGAGGCCAAGGTGGACAGATCATATGAGGTCAGGAGTTCGAGACCAGCCTGGCCAACATGGCAAAACCTCGTCTCTCTCTACTAAAAATACAAAAATTAGCCGGGAGTGGTGGCGTGCTTCTGTAATCCCAGCTACTCAGGAAGCTGAGGCACAAAAATCGCTTGAACCCAGAGGCAAAGTTTGCAGTGAGCAGAGATCACGCCACTGCATTCCAGCTTGGGCAACAAAACGAGACCCTGCCTCAAAAAAAAAAAAAAAAGCTAACAGATTATATTATTAGGAATATTACTAATATGCTGTCATAGTTTTAAAGTACAAAAAAGGAATAGAAGATACAAAATTTAATAATTTTATGTTCTTCCTATGTATAAATTCTTCCATTTTTATAACATCTAATTTTTGTGGATAGAGTTCTCAGACCCTCTTCTCTAGATGATGAGTCCCATACACCCTCAGGGCACTTTGAACAGCTCCTTCATGGGAGTAATTAATTAATTAGGCAGGTAGGCAATTTCTGGTTTATGTCTGTCTTCCTCAGGAGAATCTAAGCTCCAAGATGACAAAGATGGTGTCGGCTATGCCCAATATCTAGCACAAGGCCTGGCACTTTGTTGATTAACAAATATTTATGGAATGGATGAACAAGAAATGAAATAAAAGCATTTTAACATGTACATTTTGAAATAACATAGTCATGATATTAAAAGTAAGTATTATTTCCTTCGTCTCTCCAAGAAGAGAGGAAGTGCCCATCTTGTAAGCTAAGAAGACAGTAACCATTCAGATTCTGGGGAGCTATTTTTGGCAGCTCTTCCTTAGGAGAATCACACTGCCTGAACCTGTCCCCAGGAATCCCTTCAGTTACAGCAGAGCTCTGGAAACCCAGTACTTTTCCAGAACCTCCTGTTCAGTAAAAGGAAAAGTACTCAGTCTCTCTAGATTATGTTCACACAGTGTATGTTAGCCCTTACTCTCTGACTCATGAAAGGGTAGGTAGCTTAAAACTGTCTTTCACTTCACAAATGAGGAAATGAGCCCAGAAAAGTGGATTGATTTTCCAAGCCTAACACTTGTTAATAATAGAGCTGGTGCAATTGGGAATAGGCTCATTCTTACATTTCTCTCTCTTTCTCAATACATCTGTAATACACATATATTTGATTTATTTAAATTACATTTATGAAAGATTTTTTATTACATTGGGGGAAAAGCCCTTGATGTGTTAAGCAACAGGAGCTGACTAGATTATATATATAATACCTATTCAATTATAAAATATATAATTATATGGAGAGCACATATGTGTATGTGTGTATGTATTTCTCAATTACTTATCTATGTAGAAAATGTGAAAAGGAGTATAAAAAATGTTAACAGTGTTTACCTCTGGTTGGTGGGTCATAGTGTATTTTTATTTATGTTTTTCTGCATTAAAACTTTTGTTAATAAGCATGTAATATTTTATAACCAGAAATTTCAGTTTTTTAATTCCTGCTCTAATCGTTTTTAAACATTTTATTTCAGTCAGCTCTACCAGGTAAAGGGAGCATCAACCTAGGCTCCAAAGAAGTTCTACCAGTCATTTAACCTGATCTGTAAAATGGGTATAATTATAGCTACTTCCCAGAGCTCTTGTGTATTGGAATAATAAATAAGAAATTCCTTCATAACTCTAAAGCTTGTTAAAGATGTTAAGTGGTATTGTAATGATGATAATGTTCTGTGGCCTAAAAGAGGTGGGAAAACCCTTAGGATAGCAGGTATCTTTGTGCTAAGAAGTTTAGGTTGGGAAGGGAAAGAAGTCTAAGTGTCAGGAGAGAAGTAAGAGCTTTTTTGCTCTTAAGAAAATCAGCTGGGTAGGTGGCTCACGCCTGTAATCCCAGTACTTTGGGAGGCCAAGGCGGGTGGATCACCTGAGGTCAGGAGTTCAAGATCAGCCTGGCCAACATGGTGAAACCCCATCTCTACTAAAAACACAAACATTTGCCAGGCATGGTGGCACACACCTGTAATCCCAGCTACTTGGGAGGCTGAGACAGGAGGATCATTTGAACCCAGGAGGCGGAGGTTGCAGTAAGCCAAGATCGCACCACTGTACTCCAGCCTGGGTGACAGAGCATGACTCTGTCTCAAGGAAAAAAAAAAGAAAGTAAAACAATCATATGGTTGACCCCAGTTCTCTCCTTCCTCATACTTCCAATAAATCCCTCAATGTTCCCTCTTAAGATTAAACTTCCCTTCTGTCTCTTAAGTAGCCCATGCAAGAAGCAGCTTATAGTGGACAGGATCTAGTATATTTTGAGACAATGGCATGTCACAAATGCCATGGAAAATGAGATTTCACACACAGGGATGATTTTTTACACTAAACAGAGGTGCCAAGGGTCGTATGTAAAATAACTCTTCCTTTTTAATTTATTAATTATTTTTAGAGACAAGGTTTCATGTTGTTGCCCAGGCTGGAGTGCAGTGATGCTATCATAGATCAATGCAGTTTTGAATTCCTGGGCTCAAGTGATCCCCTTGCTGCAGCCTCCCAAGTAGATGAAACTACAGGCATGTGTCACCATGCCTGGCTAAGTTTTTTAATTTTTAATTTTTTAGAGACTGGGTCTCCCTTCATTGTTCCGTCTGGTCTCTAACTCCTGGCCTCAAGAGATCCTCCCACTTCAGCCTACCAAGTAGCTGGGATTACTATATTTTAAAATGTAATACAGACTTAGGATAAATTTACCCAAGAGAAATAAAAATTTATGTTCTCACAAAAACCATCACACAAATGTTTATAGCCACTTTATTAATAATTGCTAAAAACTGGAAATAACTCAAATATTCCTTATTGAATGGATAAACAAACTGTCATACATCCATATAATGGAATGCTACTCAGCCATACAAAAGGATGAACTACTGAAAATCACAACAACAGATGAATCATAAATGCATTATGCTAACTTAGTAAAGGAATGGAGACTCAAAAAGGCTACAGACTGTATTCTCCATTTATATGATATTCCAGAAAAGAAAACTATAGGGGAGAACTGATCAGTAGTTCCCAGAAGATAAGACAGAGGGAGGGGTTGACTACAACAGGACAGTAAGAGAATTGGCAGGGTGGGGGGGGTGGTGATGGGATTACTTTTTATTGTGATGGTTACATGTATATGCATTTGTCAAAAGTCATAGAACAGTACACCAAAAAGTGAATTTTACTATATAAAGTTTAAAAATAAATGTATAAAAATAATATAGTCCCAGGGTAAATTCAAACAATACAAGGAATTTAATAAGAAACTCTCCCTCCTAGGTCTTTGTGATAATAGATCTATATTTTGGTTGCAGTGATGGTCACATACATCCATACATGTGATAAAATGATAGTGAACTATACACGCACACATTACACCAATATCAACTTCCTGCTTTTGATATTGTACTATCATTAAGATGTAACCGACCAGGCGCAGTGGCTTACACCTGTAATCCCAGCACTTTGGGAGGCCGAGGCACGCAGATCACCTTAGGTCAGGAGTTCGAGACCCGCCTGGCCAATGTGGTGAAATCCCATCTCTACAAAAAAAAAAAAATACAAAAATTAGCCAGGCATGGTGGCAAGCGCCTGTAATCCCAGCTACTGGAGGCTGAGGTAGGAGAATCGCTTGAACCTGGAAGGTGGAGGTTGCAGTGAGCCGAGATCCCGCCACTGCACTTCAGCCTGGGCAACAAAAGTGAAACTTCGTCTCACAATAAATAAATAAATAAATAAATAAACAAACAAATAAACAAACAAATAAATAAAATAAAAGATGTAACCGGCGGGTCGTGGTGGCTCACGCCTGTAATCCCAACACTCTGGGAGGCCAAAGCAGATGGATCATCTGAAGTCAGGGGTTCGAGACCAGCTTGGCCAACAGGGTGAGACCCTATCTCTACTAAAAATACAAAAATTAGCTGGGCATGGTGGCGCACGCCTGTAATCCCAGCTACTCAGGAGGCTGAGATAGGAGAATCGCTTGAACCCGGGAGGTGGAGGTTGCAGTGAGCCAAGATTGTGCCACTGCACTCCACCCTGGGTAACAGAGCAAGACTCCGTCTCAAAATAAATAAATAAATAAATCTCATATAAATGTGTGTGTACAAATTTATACATAAATAATTTTAACACAAATGGTAGCATATTATACTTGCTGTTCTGCACCTTACTTTGTTTCTACAATTACTTCAGAGATTTTTTTCCACATCACATATACAATGGATCCATCTCATTATTTTTTCTTGCCATATAGTATTCCATTGCACAGTGGTTTCATTTATTTCAACAGTTTCATACTGATGGACATTGGGATCTTAACTAAGAATTGAACTTAAATAATTCAGAAATTTTTACAATAATGAAAGGTCGGCTGGAGTTGAGCCTAAAAGTTTTCACATACTCAAGACTTGACTCCAGAATATTCTTTTGACCAGAAGGGGGAATGCAAGTGGCAGGAGAAGCAAAAAGCTGGGAAATTTCCCGGGCCAATGGGGAAGCAGTGAAGCCGGCAGGGAATTACTGCCGGGTAGGAGTTCGCAGAGGGGCACCTTACTTTTGGAGTAGGAGGCCGTCTTGCAAGCCGAGACTTTTCAGGCTGCAGCCCAGATATACCGAAGTGTGTATCGGCTACGCACAGTGTGGTGATGCCTGGCCACCTCCAGCCTCCCGCGGGGACCCCCTGCCCAGGCGGAGTCTGAATGCCCACCGCCACCAGCCCACGCGCGCAGTGGGCGTACACGTGGTGACCTGCCTGCGGCTGGGTTCCCGGCTCCGGCTCCTCCTCCCTCCAGCTCTCGCTCAGCTTTCTGCAGTATCACGTGCAGCAGCGCTGGTTGCAGGATGGCGGCGGCCGCGGCGGCGGCAGCAGCGGTGGGTGTCAGGCTCCGGGACTGCTGCAGCCGAGGCGCTGTGCTTCTGCTCTTCTTTTCCCTGTCTCCTCGGCCCCCGGCCGCCGCCGCCTGGCTGCTGGGCCTGCGGCCAGAGGACACTGCTGGAGGCCGCGTGTCCCTGGAAGGGGGCACCCTGCGCGCCGCCGAAGGCACCAGCTTCCTCCTGCGTGTCTATTTCCAGCCAGGACCGCCGGCGACCGCCGCACCGGTGCCCTCACCGACCCTCTCCTCGGGGGAAAATGGCACCGGCGACTGGGCTCCGCGACTCGTGTTCATCGAGGAGCCCCCGGGCGGTAGCAGCGTGGCCCCTAGCGCGGTCCCCACGCGCCCCCCGGGACCGCAGCGCTGCCGGGAGCAGAGCGACTGGGCATCGGACGTGGAAGTCCTGGGGCCCTTGCGTCCCGGGGGCGTGGCAGGCTCGGCCCTGGTCCAGGTGCGAGTGCGGGAGCTGCGCAAGGGCGAGGCGGAGCGGGGCGGCGCGGGCGGTGGCGGGAAGCTCTTTTCGCTCTGCGCCTGGGATGGGCGCGCGTGGCACCACCACGGTGCCGCCGGCGGCTTCCTGCTGCGCGTCCGCCCGCGGTTGTACGGCCCAGGCGGGGACCTGCTGCCCCCTGCGTGGCTGCGGGCGCTCGGGGCGCTCCTGCTGCTAGCCTTGTCGGCCCTGTTCAGCGGCCTGCGCCTGAGCCTGCTGTCGCTGGACCCGGTGGAGTTACGGGTGCTGCGGAACAGCGGCTCGGCCGCCGAGCAGGAGCAGGCGCGCCGCGTGCAGGCCGTTCGCGGCAGGGGGACCCATCTGCTCTGCACCCTGCTCCTGGGCCAAGCCGGAGCCAACGCGGCCCTGGCTGGCTGGCTGTACGCCTCGCTGCCGCCGGGCGTCGGGGGCACCGGGGAAGACTACAGCGAAGAGGGGATCCACTTCCCTTGGCTGCCGGCGCTCGTGTGCACCGGCGCGGTATTCCTGGGCGCCGAAATCTGCCCCTACTCCGTGTGTTCGCGGCATGGGCTGGCCATCGCCTCGCACAGCGTGTGCCTGACCCGGCTTCTGATGGCAGCCGCCTTTCCCGTGTGCTACCCGCTGGGCCGCCTGCTGGACTGGGCGCTGCGCCAGGAGATAAGCACCTTCTACACGCGGGAGAAGCTGCTGGAGACGTTGCGGGCCGCAGACCCCTACAGCGACCTGGTGAAGGAGGAGCTCAACATCATACAGGGTGCCCTGGAGCTGCGCACCAAAGTGGTGGAGGAGGTGCTGACCCCCCTGGGAGACTGCTTCATGCTGCGCTCAGACGCGGTGCTCGATTTCGCCACTGTCTCCGAGATCCTGCGCAGCGGCTACACTCGCATCCCAGTGTATGAGGGCGACCAGCGGCACAACATTGTGGACATTTTATTTGTCAAGGACTTGGCCTTCGTGGACCCCGACGACTGCACCCCGCTCCTCACTGTCACCCGCTTCTACAACCGGCCCCTGCATTGTGTTTTCAATGACACCCGACTGGACACGGTACTGGAGGAGTTTAAGAAGGGTGAGCAGGAGTCTATCTTCTCCCCCAACTCCTATCCCCTTCAAAGGTTTTATCCTTTCCTAACCACGTGAGGCTCTAGGTACCCAAAGCAATTTCTCTCCTATGGTACCAAAAACCCAAGGAAGACTCTACCTCTTGGCTCCCTGGCTATTTTCATCTCACTTCTACCTCACTTCTTGCTCCTGATTGAGCCCCAGGCCTCTTCCCCTCTACTTGACTCACAAGATGCAACATATTCCTTATTTATTCCATTCCACCAGTGTTTTTCCAACGCCTACCAAGTGTCAGATACTGTGTAGGTCGGAGATAGCCCTTGAAGGTCATTGCATAGCTCCCCACCTATTACAGGAGGCACCTCTACAGGTTCCCATACAAGCAGTCTTTGCTTTAAACTCCCAGGGCTGAAAGCTATTTACAGAGCAAACTAGTCCCATTGCTGGACAGCTCCAGTGGCTGACAATGTCTTCCCCATATAGAGCAGAAATTTGTGTCTCCAAATCCTCCTAACTCTTCTGCCTTTTGAATCATGTAGACTAAACCCAAACACCTTAGACATTCTTCCCCATATTTAACTTCCCATCAGGTATTGGCTGCACACATATCAAGTACTCAGGTTCAGGGCCTGGTGCGGTGGCTCATGCTTGTAATCCCAGCACTTTGGGAAGCTCAGGCGGGAGGATTACTTAAGCCCAAGAGTTCAAAGCTGCAGTGAGCTGTAATCCCACCACTGTACAAAAGAACAAGACGCTGTCTTTGAGGGGGGAGGGAAGTACTCAGATTGGGGGTTAAAAGTTGACTAAGGCAGTAGGATCCTTGTAATTCTGGGAACTGTGGTCCTGTGAAATAGGATAGATCTGAACCTGAAGAAATATTCTGGGTAGAGGAGATCCTAGAAAACTTGCATACCCAAATGAGTGGGGTTTCCTTCAGTGCAGTCACCATCCTCCAACCCTCCTCCCCAAACTCAGGCTTGATGTCATGCTTATAACTTGTTTACTTCATGTCTGAGTTTGTCTTCAGAAAGTGCCTTCTGGTGACTATAAATTCACTCAAGAAAAATCAGCCTGGGTACATTAGAGTCACTCTTCTTGGCATTACACAGTTTGACTGCCCCCCTAGTTCACCAGATTTCGCCCAGAACCCTTGACTGTTTTTTAAAATCAAATCTACTTTCAAGAATCAACATTGAGACCATTCAAAAGACTATCTCACAAACCCTGAAAGCAACTCCAGACATCATAATTTGAAAACAGGGACACAATTAGAATAAATGTAGAACTTTCCAGAATGACTCCTCTGAAGGAGGCACTCATCTGATATGAGTTGGAATGTTTATTAAAAACAAAAACCAAAAAAATCAATCCCTTGACTTCAGATTCAGGCTTCAGATCTAGCTTCCTTGTGGCTAGCAGTACTCTCATTTGACTGCATTTTGTATAAATTTTTTTGTCAAAAATGTAATCCATGATAATTTGAGCCCAAGGCTGCAGTGAGCTATGATTATGCCACTGAACTGTAGCCTGGATTACAGAGCAAGACCCTGTCTCAAAAAAGAAAGAAAGAAAGCAAGAAAGAGAGAAAGGATGGAAGGAAAGAAGGAAGGAAAGAAGGAAGGAAGGAAGGAAGGAAGGAAGGAAGGAAGGAAGGAAGGAAGGAAGGAAGGGAGGGAGGGAGGGAGGAAGAGAGGATGGGAGGGAGGGAGGATGGGAGGGAGGGAGGGAAGGGGGGGAGGGAAGGAAGGAAGGAAAGAAGGAAGGAAGGAAGGAAGGAAAGAAGGAAGGAAAAGGAAAAATTCAATCTCACTACTTTAACATCATAAATAATCTTTAGAACTTTGAATACAAACAAATCTGGGGTCTTGTTCCTGCCACAATATTTTGAAATCATATTAAATATTAAAATGTAGCCTGGGAGGGGGGGAAAGGTCTAAAAGCTACTTTCAGTCTCAGATTTGAGAGAACAGCCCTAGACTTTGTGTTGGTATGATGAAAAGGGAGAGAAATGTATATATGGCAGCTATTTTAGTCCATTTTCGGCTGCTGTTTCACCCTGTTCAGTCCATCTCACCTTAATCCTTGCATTCATAGCTCCCACTGCAACTTGAGGTTCATCTATCCACTCTTAGAATTGTGCTGATATTTTGTGTATCTTAGAGAAGTAGGGTCTTAGATCTGGGCATTGGGGGGCATAAACCACAGAAATTTATTTTGTCAAAGATCTGGAGGCTAGCAGTCTGAGATCAAGGTGTCTGGGCAGGTTTGGTTTCTTCTGAGGCATCTCTCCTTGGCTTGCAGTCACCACCTTCTGTGTCCTGACATGGTATTTCCTCTGTATGCATGCATCCCTGGTGTCTCCTTGTGTGACCAAATTTTCTCTTCTAGCAGGGACACCAGTCAGATTGGATTAGGCCCACCCTACTGGCCTCATTTTAACTCAGTCACCTCTTAAAAGTGAGTTAAGACACAGAGCAGTGTGTCATTGTCATATGCTGGCAGAAGATATTTTAAATGAAACTCCTATGAACTCATTCATTCACTTGTTTAGGTTTTTTTGTTTGTTTTTTTTTTTTGTTGTTGTTGTTCGTTTGTTTGAGACAGAGTTTCCAGGCTGGAATGCAGTGGCGCCATCTCGGCTCACTGCAACCTCTGTCTCCTGGGTTCAAGCAATTCTTCTGCCTCAGCCTCCCAAGTAGCTGTGAGTACAGGAGTACAGCACCAAGCCTGGCTAATTTTTGTATTTTTAATAGAGAGCCACTGCACCCAGCCTCATTTACTATTTTTTAAACATCTGTACAGTTTTAGGCAACAGGGGAGACAAGAAGACTGTCCTCAGGAGGTTAGCAATATATAGGGCATAATGAGCAGTGTTTTGAAGTAGGAACTGTCATATCAACTCTTATATCCCCAGCACCTTACACAGTGCCTTGTACATAGTAAGCTGTTCCAAAAAGTTGATATTGATCTGAAATGAATCCCTGTTCAGAGTTTCTAAACGTGGTCTGAAAAAAGTTCCTTTAGTGTTCTATTAATGGCTACTTTGTTTTTATGTAGATCACTAAAGAGAAGCAAGCCATTATAGAGAATACTATGCCAAGGAAGATATTTCCACTTCCTTTCATAGCCTTGCTACTTCCTCAAAGTAAGGTCCATGAAAGAGCAGCATGCGTCTCACCTGGGAACATATTAGAAATGCAGAATTTTATGCCTTACCCTAAATCCACTGAATGAAAATCTGCATTCTAGCAAGCCTCCAGGTGGCTCCTATGTGACATTAAAGTTTAAGAAGCATTGCTTTCAGAGACCCCTTATTAACAGTGTTTGGTAGATCTGCTTAGGATAGAATATGAGACATAATGAAGAAGGTGGATGTCCTCAGGCTGCAAGCCGTATAACATAGTGGTCATTTTCTTTAGGAGTTATACATTTGCACCATAGGTTAGGAGATGAAAGCTGGGTTGAACTGCTTTTCTTTGCCTTTAAAAATAACTTTTTTGGCTGGGCACGGTGGCTCACGCCTATAATCCCAGCACTTTGGGAGGCCGAGGTAGGTGGATCACCTGAGGTCAGGAGTTGGTGACCAGCCTGGCCAACATGGTGAAACTTCATCTCTACTAAAAATACAAAAATTAGCCAGGTGTGGTGGCACACACCTGTAATCCCAGTTAATTGGGAGGCTGAGACAGGAGAATTGCTGAGATAGGAGGCGGAGGTTGCAGTGAGCCAAGATTGTACCACTGTACTCCAGCCTGGGTGACAGACCAAGACTCTGTCTCAAAATAAATAAATAATTAATTAAAAAATAATTTTTAAAGCAGGTCTTTAATAGCTCTTCCATTTTTCTTACTTCCTTGCATCTCAAGTAACTTAACCACCAACAAATCCCTTAGAAGGTAGAAGAATGATATTAATAGAAGCCACAGTTACCATTAATTGAGCACTATCAGTTCTTCCAGGCACCATGCCAGGCCCTTTACATACTCAGAACAACCCTCCTGGGTAGATGTTATTAACCCCATTTTACAGTTGAAGAAACTAAAGCTCGGATCAATAACATGACTTGTACAACTTTCCATAACTAATAACTGACTGAATTGTGATGTGAACTACATCTGTAGGACCCCAAAGCCTGTTCTTTCCCTGCTTCACCCATCTTATTCCTTCCTCCATCCTGGAATGCCTGCCACCCACAGGGTTCAAAGGTAGCTTTTTCACCTCTGATTGCTGCCCATGGCTGATTCACCTCCAGTTTCTGGAGGTCAGTGATGTAGCTTTATAATTACAGTAATTGCTAACATGCATATTGCGCTTGACAGAACATTTCTATATACCTTCTCTTGTCCAATCTTAAACAACTCTGCAGTTACAGGTGATGATATGGGATTTTATCTTTTTACTTCTTACGAGTTGCAAGTCTTTAGCAGTGGGGAAGAGGAAAATGGTTTTTCACACTAGAGTGCTAGGTTTACAAAAGGGAACAATATTTCTCCCCACTGAACTGTAAGTTCATTGAGGGCAGAGAATGAATCTTATTTACTTTGTATTATCAGGGCAAGTACAGTGACCACCATGGCTAGGGGATGTATAAACATTTATTGAATAAATGGTTTTAAATACCTAACTTCTATATTTCTATGTTTGAGTGAGGTGACCTCTAAGTACAGAATAGTTAATGTTGTTCCTTAATCTCAGCAAATCTCTCCTCTTCCTCTTCATGGGCCTCTATCCCCAATAAGTGGCATCACTTGTGCCTTTAGTCACCCAGGCTAGAACGCTCTCCTTTGCATTCACCTCATCCTATTAATCATTGTCTTAGTCTGCATAGGCTGTCATCACAAAATAGCATAGACTGGTGACTTAAACAACAGAAATTTGTTTTCTCACAATTCGAGGCTTCAAAGCCAAGACCAAGGTTCTGGCCAACTCAGTTTCTGGTAAGGACACTCTTCCTGGCTTGCAGATGGGTGCCTTCTCTCCATGGCCTTTCCTCAGTGCATGCCCACA